GTTAAGGTTCAGGGTAGGGGAAATGCCTGGGTGCAGGGTTGGTGGTGGGGGCGCAAAAAGTCGATGAGTGAAATCTACGACGCCTGTGGCGACGATTGTCACCTCACGTCTGTTTCCTTGACCTGGGTGCTTGTCACCCAGTGACTAATAACAATGTTTTTCCAACGCAAAAGAATGGCCCGGGAGCATATGGAAGTCGAATAACAGATTTCGGAAATGACGAATCGTTTCCGCTTCCTTTTCTATCGACATCCCTACCGTTAGTGCGCACTATTTCTGCTTTTTTATATTATTGGTTTTTTAAAAACAAATTTCTGCAACGGTGGTGGTTGTGTCTTTGTAGGAGAATATAATGATTTGAACCGATGGAAAGTGTAGTAAGGGAGTAACCCCCCCCCCCCACACACACACACCTCCAGGAAACCAAAAAGGTTATCATCGTCATCTTGGCTTCACACCTTAACATTATTACTCACTGTCGCCAGACGGGTGTCTGTAGTGTAGCGGTTAGGCGCTTCACCGTCGCACGCAGAAGACCCAAATTTAATTCCTGTGTGGCGAGAATTTTGATTAGGCATCCCAGTCCTATGGTTCAGGACAACAATCGGGGAGAGACAAGGCTGTTTGCTCTCTCCCACTCTCCTCAACATCTTCCTAGAATGAATCATGACTGCAACACTGGAAGACCACAATGGAGCAATCAGTATTGGAGGCAGGACAATCACAAACTTGCGTTTTTCCGATGACATCGATGGATTAGCAGGAGAAAAACAGGAGCTCGCCACACTTGTGGAGCGGCTGGACACAACCTCAGCGGCCTACGGCTTGGAGACCAATGCCAAGAAATTCAAGCTAATGACCAATTACACCAATAGCATCAACGCGGACATCGAAGTCTGGGGCGAGAAACATGAGACCGTCAACAGCTTCAAATACCTTGGATCAATCGTCTCAGATGAAGGCTCAAGACAAGAAATTCTCTCCAGAATCGCGCAAACAACAGCAGCGCTGTCAAGACTGAAGCCTATTTGGAGGGACAGAAACATCACGCCCAACTCAAAATTCAGACTAATGCGTTCACTGGTCATCTCAATATTTTTATACGCGTGCGAGTCGTGGAGACTGACAGCAGAATTAGAGAAAAGGATTTAGACCACAGAGATGAGATGTTACCGCAGACTCCTTGACATCTCGTACAAAGACCACGTTTGAAATGCTGAGGTACGAAATAGAATCACCAACACAGTGGGGCAGCATGAAGATCTACTAACCATAGTGAAGAGACGAAAATTAAAATGGTATGGGCATGTCACAAAATCCACAGGTTTGCAAAAACAATCCTACAAGGAACCGTACAAGGAAAGAGAAAGAGAGGAAGGCAGAGAAGGAGATGGGAGGACAACATTACAGAGTGGATAGGGAAGACGATGGGTGACAATCTGAGAAAAGCAGAGGACAAAGAAAAATGGCGAGAGCTGGTTTTCAGATGCAGTGGTGCCCCCACGGTTGCCCCAACCACGGGATAGAAGAAGAAGAAGAAGAAGATCCCAGTCTGTCTGACGGTATGTTGTGTCCTTCTCAGCCAGGGTTGACCCTGACAGGCATGGCCGAGGCCCACCTCCTAAATTATCTAAATTGTGACGATGAGGGCATAAAAGAAACTTACATTTGATAAAAGAGTTTTACTGTCGCCATAACAATATGAATCTTTACAGCAATTTTAAACACATCTCCTTTGATTCGAACTTTGTGGGCGCCAAGAATTTTGTTCTACATGATGAGTTTTACTGTTTGATAAAATCAAACTATTTTTTCACAATGTAATATGCGACCACTGGGTCATAATTTGTCGTTAAAGATCCCTTGGTGGTCCAAAATTGATGAGAGTCGGCTTCGGCCTCAGCCCGGGGAAAATTCAAAACTTCCTGCCAAATGAAAATGTTTAATGTGTCCAGCGCGCTCACATGACCTTATGCAGTTGCGAGCGCCGTAAAACACCCCCCCCAAAAAAAAATTGTCGAGACAGTTAGCACGTGGTAGCACCAACCAGGACTGAGTGGGATGCGTCATTTCAGAAGAAAGACGGGGGTACTTGATAACATTCCCTACACTGAAAATACACTCACATCCTTTGTGTTTTTTATGTAGATATCCCCCCCCCCTTCCTCATCGACACATTCTAGATCAAAAGGTTTCTCTGAATTGATGAAATGTTTACGATCACAAGCATCAAAAGATTTAACAACATTAGGAACGACCCATCACGCCCCCTTTCCAAACAAATTGCAAGATCACGCAACGGCACATGTACCTCAAAAGACAAAGAAAGAAAGATACAGAAACGTTTTTTTTTACCATCTGGTATAAGGCTGTTGTCAGAATAAACATAATTGTATATTGCTTTTTCGAGTATGTATCTATAGAACTCTAAAGGTCATGTAACTAAATTCCTGATATGGTTGAATGGTGCATCTGATGTGGTATGAATATTTTTTCGCTTTACTTTTCTTTTCATGTTGAATTCTAATGAGAGTAATATATAATCAAGAATTTTTTGTATACCTGACACCCCAACAGAAAGTCAGAGATACTCAATAAAAGACTTCCCAATACTGGAATCGAACTCACATCGACAGAGAAGTAGCCAACTTCTACATCATAGACGCGGTATACATTTATGTTAAAGGTGAACTGTTTGACCATAATGCAACTTTCACCGGAAGCATCCTACTGAATATTTTAAATCTTAAGGTCTTAAGCTCGTGGTGAGATGGTATGCTATAATAGCATTCATAATGTCTGTATGATTGATTCACAACACACACACACACACACACACACACACACACACACACATACACTCACACACACACACACACACACACACACACACT